ATGTACTCTAAACGTTTACAAACTTAGACTGTCATGTGTTTCCCAGAAAACAAAGCATCTGTCAATGACTCAAGTGCTTTAATATCAAAAGGGTTAATTGCAAGTATTTAGTATTCTGAGAGATTATTCTGTGGAAATAGCAACAATCTAACTACAAGATGACCGTTCATCTGCATAGAACTATCTGACTCCAGAAATCTTGTGACAGTGCAGATGTGACAAGACTGTTGTTCAGTGACCTCTCTGGCCTTTGTAAAGGAAGAAATGTGGGGGAAGCAGCGGATAGAAACATTCCCTAAAATTGGGCTGTGAAGTTTGTATGCACTGCCCACTGTTAAACAGATTACCTCTAATGAAGTGTCTAATGCTCAGGGCTTGTCAGCCTAATCAACAGAGGCAGATTTACCCCATCTCACAGAGCAAACCCCTGGCCCTCTGGCCTTGGACAGCCACTATGGTCCTCTCTCTCAGGGAGGCGCCTGGCCCTAACCAAGCCAGACAGTGTGTGATCTGACATGCAAATATAGGTCATTGCATATGTAAATGTGTGATTACAAACTCGCATGCCAAAACACATTAGCCAGAGTTTGGACTCAGCATGCGGCTGTCACTGTGTCTTAGAGACTCACGCTAATCTTTGTCAAGTTCAAGTGCGTTCTCAAAGTGGGGGGAAAGAGCTATGAATTGTCTAATCACATTTTTATTAATTTACTGCATATGTCTGTGGTTGCATGACAGATTTACTGTAGGCCTTTATATCTATATATCTATATATATATCTTCAGTATACAGATATATATCTATATATATAGATATATATCTATCTCTTCAGTATACAAAGGCCTACAGTAAATCTGTCATGCAACCAAGTGTGTGTGTGTGTGTGTGTGTGTATATATATATATATATATATATATATATATATATATATATATATATATATATATATATATATATATAAATTTATTTTTTTGCACAAACAGATGTTAGTGTTGTCATAATCAATAATATATTTTACCTATTTTTCCTTTTCCTTTTTGGATAAGAGCTTGAGGTTTTAACAGGTGTCAGTTGGGTGTCCCATGCAACATTTATCAAGTTGAGTTCAGTGATGGTGCCCTAAGATAAATACTTTGGGATTTTCTGAGTCAGACATAAAGGTTAAAGAATTTTAAACTCCTGAATGTCACATATACCTCCACAGGATACCCTGTGCAGCACAAAAAAGGCTGAATACTTTATTTTGCTTTAGACGGAAAGAATACTCTTGGTGAGGTCATTGCAATAACCTGTCAAGACTCACTGACATGCAGAGATTTCTCTCTAGAAGACTGCTAAAAAGAACTCACGTTTGTATTCAGGCTTGTGTACTGCATGTTACATCATTCCAAGCTTAAAGGATAGATATTAAAGAAAAAAAAACCCCATATGGCTTAAAGTGGTATTAAACTCAAAACAAACCTCTTATTTTGCAGCTTTCCAATTCTTAGTTATGGTGGCTGATTTTTTTTTTAAATTTTATTTTTAACAGTTGTTCAAACCAGTCAGCCTTTTATTGTTTAAAGTTATTCTAAAGGTTTTTTTTTTTTTAAATAACAAACATGTCTATAGTTACTTGCTATGTGCAATGGTTTTGCACAGAGCAGCCTATATCCTCCTTTTCTTCGGTCCCCTGCTGGCGCTCCTGGCTCCTCCCTTCTTTTGGGTTCCCCCACAGGAAGCAGCTTGCTATGGGGGCACCCGCTGCACCATGTGTCCATTCACATACGGAGTCGCTGCTCAGCCCCACCCCTTCTCTTTTCTTATTGGCTCACTGGCTGTGAATGACAGTAGTGGGAGCCAATGAGGAGAGGGAGTCCCAGGATAGCCAAGACTCCACTGTACATCGCTGGATCGAGAGGGGGCTTAGGTGAAAATTTTTTTTAAAAAAAAATCTGTAACTGCTTAAAAGGTGTTAGCAGGAGTTTGCTAAAAATTTTTTAGTCAACTCCATCTAAGGACACTTTCCAACCCGGTCCACCTGTCCAAAGGTCTGTCTTTTGCTTCTCCATCCAGAGTGATGACGCAATAAGGCAGTTTGTCACTGGCTGAAACACCTGATGTAAATAAAGGGAAAAAAGCCTTAAAAACAACTAATGCAGCCACCACATTTAGCAGTCATAAATGTTGTAATTTTTCTTTTTTTTTTTTTTTTTTAAAGCAAAGGGCCTTTTCATTGATGATGTGAACTGTAAAAGTGACAGAAAGGAATGCACCATCCTTGAATAGTGGTGTACACTGGTCTATCTGCCAACAAACCTTATATTTCACTGACAGGAGAACTTCGTAGATTTTGCTGCTGCTTTTTCTGCCTACTACTTCCAAACAGTGAGCTAGCTGTTTGCATGTTGTATAAATGTTGACCTCCTTAACCCTTTCGCTGCCAGGCTCTGCACTCCACTTTTAAACTCAGGCGGCCAGGCCATTTTTGCAATGTTTCCATTGTTTTTTTTTTATTTTTATTTTACAGCTTTCAGAGTTTATGCTAGGCCCCCCAAACCATATATTTTCTGAAAGCATAGGACCAGTAGAATAAAAAGAAGGTGCTACTGATTTTTTAGGCCCTGTGATATTTGTGCAAATGTTTCTCAAGTCAAAATGTTTGCTAAAAATACACTAAAATTATTATTGAATGGCAAAATCTACAAAATTCCTGCTAAATATAAAAGTTAAAAATGTATTGAGGAAATAAATAACAAATATTTGCAAATTTTAAATTGCACCTTTTTTTGTGAAATGGGGAAAACTGAAGGTACGCGAAACTGTAAATAAAAACCATTTACTCTCAAAATCTGAGGTTCTATTTTTTCACTTACAACTTTCAGAATTTGTTCAAAAAAAAAAAAAAACCCCAAGACCATATATTTTCTGAAGGCACACCAACCTATAGAATAAAAAAAGAAAAAATGGTACTGATTTTTTTTTTAGGCCCTGCAGTAGTTTTATGTTCATCAAATTACTATTTTCACTTAAAATACACTAGTCATTAGTGGATACATACATGGCAACATTTACAAAATTTGTGCTAAATTCCTACTAAATATAAAAGCTAAAATTGTATTGAGTTAATAAATAACAAATATTTGTAAGTTTTAAATTGCTCCTTTTTGTAAAATGATGGCAACAGAATGTGCACAAAACTAAATAAAAGCCATATAGTTCCAAAATCTGGAGGTTACCACTTTTCACTTACCGAATTTGAAAAGACAACCCCCCCCCCTCCAAACCATACAATTTCTGAAAGCACATGACCTGTAGACTAAAAAAAAAATGATACAGATTTTTTTTAGGCCCCGCAGTAGTTATAAAAATGTTCATCAAATCGCTTTTTTACTAAAAATACACTAAAATCATTAATGCACACAAACAACATAACTTTTTTTCATTCCTTCTATAGCAGAGTGGGGAGAACATTTCTTAAAAAAAAAAAAATAGCAGCTGCGGGAGGTGAAGAGGCTGAAGACAGGAAAGGGAGGGAAGCTGCAAGGGGGTGGGGGGGGGGGGGGTTACTTTTGAAGTGTATAGCTCTGATCAGTGGATTGTTTGCTGAACAAGCAGATAGCTCTGCTTAGTGACTGAGTCTGCTGAACAGTTCTGCTATAGGGTCCATGAGCTTTATAGCAGAGGAGGAATGGCGGTCCATATGGTGTACGGACCTGGCCTGCTGGAGGCAGTGCTGTAGGTCCCTATGCCGTATGGACCTGGCTGTGAAAGGGTTAAAGGGTCTGCTGATGATCTGTCTGTCCTTCCAAGGGCTACCTGCCAACTTGTACACAGATCCAGTTTTAGCTAAATGGACTACCACTTATAGCTATTGGTTCTTTGCTCCCTGTCAGTAACTGCCATTGAATTGTTGGTGCTATGTGTCCAGTGCAGATTTAGTTGTCTGTCCTGCAACTCACTGTACTTTAATGTGGATGATGTAGTTCAAGTATTGTAGTCAGAGACTCCCATGCATCTCCATGATCCCTTTTCTAGATAGTCCGTTTCCTAGCCCTTGGACATTACAGAGCAGTTTCCTCCTAAACTTGCCTTTCCTTGCAACAATATCAACTAGTTCTCTATTTCATCTGATACTGTGGTTTGCTTCAACTAGGAATGCTTTCTTTAGGATTGCTTTGCAACTTTGTTGTGCTCTGTGGATCCTAGAGAGGAGAGCATATATAAGACAGCAAGTAGAGGGAACTGTATAGCATCCATGTATAGATTCCATTCAGTTTAATCTGGAGTTGTGTGGTAGTTGGTAATAGGCCGTGCACCTGAAATTTACTTCAGCTAAATAGATGGTCTCTCCCAGTCAACATTTCAAGAACCGTTTTCTTTTTACTATTGCATAAATAGATTTTCATGGGTACACAGCCAGAGTCATATTTTTGACAACTCTTATGCATGGTTTTTTATAGAATGTTAGTAGATTGACAACCTTGACTTTTTTATTTAAAGGTTTTGAACTTGTCATTTCATTTATAAAGCAGTGAATGACTTGATCACAATGTATTTGTCAATGAGCACACACTGTAGTTGTAAAAGGCATTCAGTTGATTGAGCCCTGTGTGCTGCACATCTAGATTTCCCATACTTCAATGGGAAATCAAGGTCTAAGTAACACATTTTAACTGCTTGTCCTGGTAGGTGAATTATCAGCAGGTTATCAGCAATTTTCCATTTATTCTTGGGAAAGAAACACTGCTTCCTGATTTGCACTTGCCACCACCCACATTTTCTGCACGTTTAATAAGGATTTTATATGTAAAATTGCAATTTGCATTTCCTTCTCCATCCAGCAAAGTTTCATATAATAAATCAAGGCCTTGTAAAAGTGCATTACAAAACGTGGAAAATTTCAAGAGGTATGAATACTTTTTCAAGGCACTGTAGTTTATTATGCATCTTACTAATTATTACGTACTTTTTTTTCATTTTCAAATTTTTCATATATTTAGAAGCCACTGCGACCAGACATGGGATATAATACGCTGGCAAATTTCCAGATTGAGAAGAAAATTGGCAGGGGTCAGTTCAGTGAAGTATACAGAGCCACATGCCTTTTGGATGGAGTCCCTGTTGCTTTAAAAAAAGTTCAGGTATATTGAATTTCGTTTTTTTTAAAACATATCGCTGTATTTTGTTGCTCAGCATTTGCCCCACTGTTCCTTTTCTACTTGTAGTTGAAGTTTGCAGACGAGGTTTAAGGAAAAATATTTCAAAACACTTGGCTGAAAAAATGAATCCTAGCCTATACTATCCTGTGTTTTAAAATATGAAAGTTAACTGTTGGGTATTAGGGCAGCTTAGCAAATCCTGCCTGAGGAGTAAGTAGTCAACTGCAAATAATTTTAAAAAGTTGTAAGGCTTAGACCCCGGTTGCACTGGGTGCGACTTGGCATGCGACTTGCAAGTTTCATGCCAAGTTGCCCTATTGTCCGCAATTGCAGCGGTCATATCGGTGCGGTTCCGACTTGATCGAAGTTGCACCAATTTCTAAAGTAGTACATGCACTACTTTTTGGTGCGATTTGTATAGACCTCTGTGTCAGATGTCTTGGAAATTGCACCTGAAATCGGCATTGTCCCCCAACTTTGATATTTTGCGACTTACAGTTAAGTCGCTCGATTTCAAAGTCGGGCTTGATGTGACCGGGGTGTTATGCAAAAACCATACCTTAGTGACTTCTCTCATTTAAAAGGGATAGCTGGGTGCATTTTCAGTCATCTTATGTTTTAAATTGTTTTTACAATGTTAAAGCAGAGACCCAGCCAAGAACCTGAAAGATAGAAACTAATAGCCTCTAAAGGAAAACCTGAAAAGGTTTTGCAGCAATGATTACCTTTAATCGAGAGCTGCCACCTGCTCTACTTCTTTTTACCATTAGATGTCCTTAGCCTGACAGCCCGAATTATTCAGCCCACTTCCTGTAAGCCAAGGTTGTTATGGACCCCACAGCCTGTGGCTGGACAGTGAAAGGTAGGAAGTGCAGTGAAGACCTCGGCTCTCTGTCACTCTGCTCTCTTCTCATATCAACATGCTCTATGTGAGAACACAAACTGATCGCCTCCTTGTATTTTTTTTCTTCCTCTTACTGTACACACTCCAAGTCTACTATAGAGGACCCGCAAATGCTTATCCAACACATGTTTTTACACTGTTTGCTTTAACTAAAAATAATTTGATGGCAAAACTATATATTTTTTTCATTTTGGATAGCGTAAGGGAGAGTTGTAACCCTTATCAGTTTTTTTTTTTTTGTTTCCCCTTTCCCTGAGATTTCCCTTCACTTCTTGTCCCATAGTCAAAACAGACAGTCACCAGGGACACCAAAACCGTGTATCTTTAGTCAGTTGGACACTGGCAAGCTTTTAAGGACAAGCCCACTAGGTGCCTCCCCTTTAACCTTACCCCACTCTGCGGGTCCTCAATTTTGTGCTAGTGTTGGAAAGAAGTGGACTTTTTCTCCTTCTCTGAGAAAAATAAACTTTAGCTTAACTAGTTTATTCTTTTTATTATACAATTTCCCAATTTACCTGTATGGCTGTGACTGTAAGTTTAATCACAGTACAAGTTAATTGTTAGATCAACTTCTGTCGAATGGACAATTTAAATAAGTTTGATGAATTCTGCAGTCAATGATTAGCGTTTTCTGACAGTACCAGCTCTCGCTGTCTGAATACAATGTCCCGGTAGGAGGATTACTCCATCCACCTAATTTTGTGAATGGAGGAATCTGGGGTTTTTTTTTTTTGTTTTTATGCCAGCCAGGTTGCTGTATGAAAAATAAATACTCATCATTGTCCAGCTTACGACTGGGGCTGGCATACCTCTTGATTAATAGAATCCATACTGGGAAGTAGTGCCCTTCAAAAGTAAACCAAGGGAAAAGGACCAGTCACTTGATTTATTAGTAATTCTGCTATGCTGCATGTTGTCTGTGTGGAGGCAGTCTTGTTAGAGCTTTGCTTCCTATTATCAGACCTGCATCTACAATGACTAGTGATCTGATTATTGGTTATGTAATTATCACAAGGCAGCAGAGGAGGTGGAGAGAGCATTAAAGTATAACTAAAGGCATAATTTTTTTTTTTTTTGGGTGTGGAGAGTGATTAGAATACCTGTCAGGTTTTTATCACTGTCTGTGTTCCCATTAGGGAGATTCACCCTCTTTATTTATCCTGTTTGCCATCATCCCCTAAAGTGAATAAAAAAGAAAATCCCAAACTTTGGCTTTTCCCCAGAACAGGAACCCTGGGGATATCTTCCAATGAGGACTCTTGTCTGGTGTCCAGGGTGATAAACTATGATCCCCTTACTTTAGATGAATTTTCTCTCTCCCCAGTGGGACACGGGTGACAAAAATAAACCTTACAGGGGTTATAACCCTTTTATACTCTATCCAAAATGGAAAAAAAAGTTTAGCCTTTAGTTCTACTTTAACCCTCAGGTACAGCTCACTCTCCAGAAAATCTTTTAAAAGAACATTTAGGAAAAACGGGGTGATTTCCCCAAATCCCATGCCTAATCTCTAAGGATCAGCAGTCATTAGAGAGGGGGAGTGGGTGGGATATGCCTTAAATGTTCTCACATAGCGGATGTGAAACTATGAGACTATAGGAATGGCGGGGCCATGATGGTCCCACATGCCTGAAAAGGCACTGCTTTTCTTCCAGGAGATATTCAAAACAAAAATTGCACATCATTACTGAAGGTCTCCCGGAATGTTATATTTTTCTTTAAACCATTATTTAGTGACTTCTTTAACCACTAGTTTCTTCAGAACAAAAACCTAAATTACAACATTTAAACAAGCTCAATTTGCAGAGAGGTTCCAGCAGGATCACATTGTGAGCAGCTGCATTGACAAGCAACTGTGTGCCCTCTTATTTCATAATGTGTCCTGCTAGAAGGGAGCTGTCACAGTAAAGATGTGATCGTCCCTTTCCCTAAGGGCAGCTCACAAGCTTTACCTACTTGAAAAGCCTGTTGTGACCATTTTCATGTAGCCATCTTAAATTTGTAAAATATAAAATGCAGAAAAGCCAGAATCTGAATTTTACCACATGTTGCCTTCATAGAAAGGGATTCTGTTCAATAAAATTGCATGGATACACTGATCAAAATATGCTAGTGTTTATGAGCTGACATTTTATTCTAGCTTTTAAGCTTCAGCAGATTACTTTGTTAGTACGGATGTGTTTTTTTTTTCTTTTCTTTATGGCATATATAGTTTGTATAATTCTTAAACTGGCCTCATGGTAATTTCCCATACAGGTTAATCCAGGTGCTGCATTTATGCTTCCTTATTAACAGTGTCTTTGTAAATAAAATCATGTTCATCTTTATTTAATCCCGTGCAGATTTTTGATTTGATGGATGCCAAGGCAAGAGCTGACTGTATCAAAGAGATTGACCTGCTTAAGGTAAACACTTTTTGAAGCACCCCTAAGATTGTTTGTAGTATATGCTTTTTGTGTGAAATCTGATGCTTTGATGATTTTGCTTTTCCCTTCGTCTAGCTGAGCCCGTTTTTCCAATGTGCCACATAAAGGCTTTGAACCGCTTATTCTTCACATCTCCTATGAACTTGGCATCTTTAAATAAGAGAGGAAAGATGTTTACATCTTAAGATAAAACTGCATTAAAGTTCCCTTTGCTCTTCCTTTACTACATGCACAGTGGGATTATATGTTGCCCTCAAACTTTTTTGTTACCAAGATAACATTGTGCAGGAGTGTTCTTTTGAAGGGTAATCCAGAATTTTGGTGCATCAGAAAAAACATACTTTTGTGTTCATTTTCAAGATTCTGTATGTTGATCACTTTTAATAGGATACCTCAGAATTATGTTAAATGATTACATATAACTGGTCTAATATTTTTTTTTTTTTAATTAGGCTAAAAGTAAGCAGTGGCATTAGATATTTATTTTTCTCCTGATGATACACTTTACCTGAGAGACGATAATCCTACATACCTAGTTGTTGTAATAGCTGATCTTTAAAGTGAAACTCCACCCAAAAAGGGAGTTCCACTTTAAGGCCTCTTTCCTGCTCCTTTTTAACATTAGCCTTTTTTGGTGATGGCCGAGGACTGAGCACTGTCCCCGGCGCCCCCTCGGATGAGCACATCACTGGATCCTTGTATAGAGATTTGACAGGTGGGTTTTCTCAGCTGTCAACTGTCTTCAGGAGAGTGGACACTTCACTCAGGAGTGTTTGAGGAGCACTGCCGATGGTTTAGAATCCTGGATGTGGATCTTATTGGTTCAAAGGGTGCACAGGCTTGTCCTCAGGACCAGGGATCCTCAAACTTTTATGGTGGATGATCTGGTGATGGGACCAGTTCTGCCCTCCTGTCGTTACAGCTTTTACCTCCTGGGATTCTAATCGCCCTCACCTGGTCCTGCCCAGCCCAGGAGTACTTGGTACATTTCAAATATGTCAACAGGTAACCCTTGGACCTTTCCAGGTCAATCTTTCCCAATGTGGCAATGTACCATTTCCTTCCATTATAGTCGCAGACTTTAACAGCGTGGCTGTTGAAGCCAGGGTCCTAAGGGACAGGAGAGTCTCTGATTTAGTTATTCTTACCTTGCTGAAAGCTAGCAAGGTGACTTCTAGGAAGATTTACAACAGAATTTGGAGGTCTTATTTTTCCTGGTGTTCGGCAGACAAGAGTCCCTCTTTGTGCTTCCTGTAGGCCCAAGCAACGATCACGCAGATTATAAACCTGCCATCTCTTGAAGAATCCTTTTTGGGGTTTTTTTCTCAAGTTTATGGGCTAAAAGGACAAGTTTCACCATTTTCAGTTATGGCTCATTCTACCAGAAGTGTTGGTGCCTCCTGGACAATTTATCATCAAGCTTCGGTAACTCAGTTTTCTAAGAGCTGATATCTGGTCTTCGATTCATGCTTCTATGAAGTTTTACTAAGTGGATGAGCCACTGAGGATGCTATCTTTTGGTTTCATATTTTGCAGGCTGCTTCAAGTTCTAGCAAATCTAGCCTGTTCTGGTTTAGTTTTTTTGGGGCTTGTTGCTGTGTTGCCCTTGTCTCATATTTGGTTCTTTGGGACATCCTTGTCATAATGGAGATTAATATACCATGCGTCCTGGGATGCATGGTAAAGAAAATGTTTTTTTTTTTGTGTGTTTTTTTTTTTGCTTTACCTGTAAAATCCTTATCTTAATCATACAGTACAGGTCACAGGCATTTTATTCATACACCATGGGTTTTAGGCTGTAGCTTTAGGTGATTGGGGCACCTCCCCTATAACCTGATCCCACTCTGTGAGTCTCCTCTTTTTCATTAGTGTTTGTAGTTGGACCTTTTTTCTTCCTAGAGAAATCAGCTTCATTTATATTTTTTTTTTCCTGTATTAAGAATTCTTCAGTCAACCTCACTGCCTTCTAATGCCTACAGAAAAGCAGTGTATCCGGATCGGTGCAACATCTTTAAAATCTTGGGAATCCTACCTGGACCCCATACCATAAGTGTGGGAACAGCATGTATTGGTGCTTCGGGCATGGCATCCTGTGTGTGGCGCTCAGCTTGGCACTTGGTGCAGTGTTTTGTTAGCTGCAGGGTGCTAATAAAGGTCAAGAACTGTGGTCTATTTCTTTGGAACCCAGTCCCTGAAGACCTCCTTGGGACTATGCCCACCGGGACAGTTTATATTTATATACAGTTTACACTTTATATACAGTCCAGCATCAAGAATCGGTAAGACAGGGTTACCCTGTTTCTCTACCTGTTACTGTGTAAAAAGGGGGTATGTTTGGGAAGTAGTCACTTAGTAGCGTAAACCTTTCAAACTTGGCGCTACAATTCAGATAGAGGTCAGTCTCAGGTGAATGACAAGGAGGTACATCACACCACTGTTCGCACATTTTAACACCACTTCTGCCTTGATTTTTTATAAGGTACTCGGGCACTTTCTCCCACGACTATTCATTGCGGGATGGGCTGCACATTGTTTACTGTGTACCAGAAATGAAACGCTTGCCCTTTCTCCTAAACTGTACTCTGAGAGGTTGACCCTGCTGTCTCTGCCCTCAACAAATGTTTCACTGTATCAGTTGAATATGTTCCATCTTTTAAAGATTCTGCTGACTGAAAGTTTGAGATGCTCTTGAAAACTCATTAATCTTGCAGGCCCAGCCCTGCAACCAGCTTTTGCTGCCATTTCTGTATGTCAGACCACAGCTAACTGGACTAGAACAATGAACAACAAACATGACCCTGTTTTCCAGCATTGTGAGGTTGCAGAGCAATTACAACAACTTCTCTCTGCTTTTTTTTTTGTGTAGATGCCCTGGCACACATTTTGAAACCTGTATCCAGAATGGATCTAATCTCTATTTGTATGCACAGAATCCTCTGGCTAAAGGCTTGGACAGCAGAAGCTGCTTGTAAGAGGTGCTTCACATGCATGCATGTCAATTTGGTGAGACACGTGACCAATTTATTAAAGGTCACAGGTGGGAATGTTTTGCTTCCCCAGAGAAAGGTTCCAAGACCCCCTTGCCAAGGGGCTCCTGGTTCCTCTAAATTTAGAGCACTTTCACACTCTTCCCAGGCTTCAGCTTCAAAACTTAAGTTCATCCTTTCTTTTGTGGCACAGGACTTGGCCCAAAAAGGACCACCAAGCCCTTCCCAAAGCCCTCTTCGCAATGAAGGGGGTGCCCTCACTCCTAACAGTGGGGAAACAGCTGTTGCAGTTTGTACCTCTCTAGGTCACAGATGTCCCAGATCTGTGGGTTCAATCAGTGCTTTCATAGGGACACAAGATGGAGTGTAAAGCTCTGCCACCTCACCATTTTTCTTCTTTCAAATCATCCAAAACCTGTCCAAAAAAGGACAGTCTAATGCAGAAGGCCATGAACCATGTGTTGTCCCAGGGAGTTGTACCAATACCACTACAAGACAGGTTCAACGGATTCTACTCAAGCCTGTTCATGGTACAAAAGCCCAATGGCGTTATCTGTCCTATCCTGGAGTTAAATTCCCTCAGAAAATTACCTCACATTCCAAATTTTCAACTGGAATCTGCAAGGGCAATGAAACGAGAATAAAATGTACTCTCAGGGTGTTCACAAATATCTTAGCACCACTGTTTGCCAATTTTAGAATTCGGGGCATCGAGGTGACATGCTATCTAGATGACTTTCTTCTGAAGGATTAATTTCCCTTACAACTCTCAGGGAATGTCCAGTTCAGTTGCTTTGGGCCTTTGGCTGGGTGTTCAGTTTAAAAAAAAAAAAAAAAAAAAAAAAAAAAAATCTGCTCTCCAGCCTTCAATGCACCTAGGTCCTAAATACATCCCAGACAAAGATCGGTCTTCTAGAACAGAAAATTCTTTCTCTAAGAGCTTATGCTTGACAACTAAGATCCAAAAGAAATCCCACAGTGAGGTGCAAACCTCACTGTGGGATTTCTTTTGAGAGTTTTGGGTCTAATGGTGGCCTCTTTCGTGGTAGTACCTTTTGACAAATTTCTATGACCTGATGGCCAATTTAGGAATTCTCCAGTTTAAAATCCTATCCCCTTGTCGTTAGAAACTCACTGTCCAGCGATTTCTGTCACTTCCTAGGATTAGACAACTGTGGCAGGCAGACTATATCAGGTGCCACCACTTAAACCTAAAGCAATGGTCTCTTCATCCAGATGTGTTTTGCTTTGTTATGCCAAAAATGGGGGATTCCAGATATGCATATCCTGCCTTCCAGATTGTATCAAGAACCAGGGATTGTTTAGCTGTGGTCTTGGTTGCCCAAGGTAACCCCTGCTCTCAGTTCAGGCCAATTTATGCCTTACATCCACTGAGCAATCTTGACAGTAATTTATTTATTTTTTTTTTTTTTTTCAAACCTGGCACACAGACATACTCAGACTTCTGGCAGATGACCCCGGCCTTTTCCCAACAGGCTAGATCTACTAATTTAAAGTGTTACTAAACCCAGGATCCTACATTCACTATATCTGGTCTCCCACAGTACACAGAACATGGAAATGCAATTATTTTATTAAATATAAGCTGATAAATACCTTTTATCATCAGCAATTAGAGCAGTCTTGTGGCTTCTGTCAGTGTCCAGCAGAGCATTGGTTAAAGCTTGTAGGAGTTTTCATTCTCCCCTACGAGGATGCAGGACCCCTGACCCTTTGTCTGAACAGTGCTGATTGGCCCTGTGATTACATGCACTTTCCCAAGAAAAACAAAACCCTCTCTAGCAATACACACCAAACTGAGCATGTGCAGAGTGACTCCAAACCTCTGTTCTGTAAGGAGATAATTAGGTATTTAGGGGACAGGGGAGGATCAGAGAAGAGAGAATCAAACCGCCCTTTTGCACAATGTGGATTAACCACCTAAGCTTCACAGTGAGTATATAAGCATGCTTTACTACATATACAGATTGA